TGCTCTGTCATGATTGTTAGAACGTTGACAAGGTCTGCTGAGTCTCGTGATCTGATGAGCCAAAAAACAAAATGCCTTAACATTAATTTCTGAATAAGATGCTCTGTGTGAGTTTGAATAGTCAGGCCAGGTCTGGTTCACGTTTATTAAAGAAGGTGGATGTGAGCAAGGGAAAAGAGCTGGCTTTTGCTTGTGGCTAGTGACTTGGTGAAGAACACAGAAACCATGTGGCTTTTCATCTCCTGCAGGTGTTTCACAATCATCTCCTTTTAAAACCTCACATTGCACCTGTGAGATGGCATAGCACAGTCAGGACACCTGATAAAGCATTTCAGCAATTACTTTTATCTTGGCTTATGGGATGTGGACAGTCTGAGAGTGGACAGTGATTTTATTTGAGGGAATTTCTTGCTCGGAATTATGCAGTTACATTTTCCTCTGATCTTTTTGCCCCACATACTGCCATTTGCAAGTCAAACTGTTGTTGTGATTCACCCTATAATTTCCATGATACTACTTCTTTTTCCTGTGCAGACAGCCGTAAATCCTCGGGCATTCACATAGTTGGTGTGATTGCTCATACCAAAATTTCGTATTTGTTTTTGTGATGTCTAAATTTAACGGCTTTTAAGGTGAATATTTCTTCCATGGAAACACGGGTAGTGAATATAAGCAGGGTCTTGAATACATCAGAACAAAATTATCTGCCGTTCTGAATTTGTATTTAACTAAAAAATTTCGCAATATTCACCCAACCTAGCGTCACCTTCCTCTGGCTGGTGGAAAGCTAATAGCTGAAGGCCAAAGTGATTAAGACTCTTCTCAAAGGTCATGCTGGCAATGAAGTGTCAGAGACAAGAAGGAGATTTTTACTGAATTCTTTCTCCTTCTCGGTGACGATGCTTACAGTCACTGTGCATGGGCATCCCCCAGAATTGTACGGCAATGTACACAGCTGAATGACGGAGGAACAAATTATTCAGGTACCAACGTCAGGAGGGCTTATTGAGGGCTATGCTGAAGTGGCCTGTTGCTCCGTCCCCTGTCCCAGAGATGTGGCACTTTAGGAATCTAGAGAGCGTTGTCATGAAAATTACTTTGATGGCAAGTGACAACTCTGACATTCTCACTAGGGAGGTTAACCAGGAACTTCATTTGTGACACACATGGAAGTCTTGATGCAGGAATCCTGCTTCGGCAGGGGGGTTGGACTAGATGACCCACAGAGGTCCCTTCCAACCCCTACCATTCTGTGATTCTGTGATTCTGTGATTCTGTGAATGTCAACCAGCTCGCCATCTGTTACATCCTCATCTGGCAGTAAGAAAACGAAGGTTAAGACAGGTAGGTAAAGGGACGGGAGTAGAAAATGTATTTTGTAGTCTTTCTTTGGAATGTGGAGGCTGGTCATGGATGGAGTGGAGGAGGCGGACTTTTTATGCCCTTCAGGTTGCAGAGCATGGAAGGAGGCAAAAAGTGACAGATGCTGTCAAAGGGAGGAGCAGAGCTCCAGGGTTCCAGAAAATCTGTGGGTTTACAAGCTCTGCCAGGCCCTTGCAGCATGTCTTTGGGTAATCTCTCACTTCCTACATCTCCTGCTTTAACAGCTGTAAGGGAACGGGGCTCCCACTCAAGCTGACAGGAGAAAACAATACTCCAGTGTGTGTGAGGACCGAGCATGCCAACATGCCCTTGAGGGGGCAGGGGGTGGTGTAGTGGGCAGCAGTGGTAAGCCCCCATGTGAGACTCGCTCATGGTGTAATGTCATCCAGCCCCCATAACCGATGGGGACCAGGCACCTCACGAAGAATTCCAGGCCGATTGCTCTAGGACTGTGCTGCACCCACCGGTCACGAGAAGAGTCGGGGCTGTCGCAGGGCAAAGAGGGAGGAGAAGGCAGCAGCAGTGAAGCCCAACAACCAAGATGTTGAGAGGCCTGTGTCCATTGCCTCTGTACCACCCACAGGCCAGTAACTCCCAAAGGTTTTGTCATGTAGCGTCATGGGCATAAGGCACCCCGAGGTGACAGCTCAGGAGGAGCCACCGGTACAAAAGAGGGTGATCGGCCAAAAATCTTAATGGGCAGTCCTGAAGATACGGACTTGTTCCACTCAGAGGAAATGGGTGGATGGTTCATCGCCGTCTAGGGAGGAAAAATGTTTTAAAACCAGAATTTTAAACTGAATAATGCTTGCGCTTACCAAAGACTAGTTACCACAGCCTCGTGAGCTATCAGCAGTCCTTATCCTGCAAGTTCATTCCTTAGAAGTAAGAAAAACCATTGCAAAGAAGTGAGGAAGGGCCCCAAAGCGAGGGTACCGTCCTTGCAGTGAGTCTGGCGGGCTGTTGTGCAGATCATCACGATGGTCCTACCGGGCAGGTGGTGGACGAGACGCGGTGGCGCGTGTGGCCAGCCTCCACTGCCGACACAGCCAGCACACACCGAGGCGTGGGCATCGGTGCTGGCCAGAAAACAACTGGGGGGAACAAAACAATCGGGTTTGGAGACAAAGAATTGAGGAGTGCTAAGCTGCGTGAAGTATCAAAATAACAACAGCTGCGTTTTATAGCAGGGTAACTGCTCCGCAGGGGTGGGCGCAGAGCTGCCCACACACATTCCCCTCGTGGCCCCTCCGGCGGGCCGTCCCCTGCCAAGGTGTTCTACCCCTGCAAGACAAGCGAGGAGCAGCTGTTCCCCAAAACGCGCTGCAGGAGCCAGCTGCGTGCTCGCGGTTGGGCACGGTGAACCGGGCTGTCCGTAATGGCACGCCACAGGGCACACGTCACTTTGGTGGGAGCCCTTACGTCTGTCTGCGGGCTGGGTGAGAAAAACCCAACGATTTCCTCGCGAAGAAAACCGCCGAGGTGGGAACCTCACAGTCTGTTAGAAAAGCAGAAGAAAGACGGTGGTGGTGGAGAGTGAAGGGTAATGATGCTGTGAAAAGCCGGAATTGAAGGCTCAGTAGTCGGCAGACTATTAAGCAGGTATTTTTTATTATGGCACCAGTCACACGGGGGATTTCTCCTCCAAACGTGTGCACCAAAAGGACAGAGTTACTAGGTACTCATGCTGCGTTAACATACACATTCATTACATTTCCAAGAAATGCTTAGCATCGTTTTTCCGAGCACTCATTAATGTACGGTAATGTCCTCAGCGTCTCTCAGCGATGGCGGGGTCTGCAGATTCTCCTGAAGCCTCCTGACCTCCGTAGTTTGCATACCTGCTCTCCCGAGCTGAGAGGGATTATTCTGGAGTCTCTTATCTCACAGCCGTCCCAATTCTTCACGAAGAACCAGGACTTGTTTTAGCTGTGCAATGTCTCCGACCACCTGAAGTGACAACATCACGTTGCATTCCCAAGTGTCAGTGAAATGGGACAGGGCAATTGGAAATGCTCAGAGGACAGATGGGTGCCAGTTAATTTGGGACACGTTTATCAGCAGAGGGCTGGACTTTCCTCCCGCGCTTCTGCAGAGGCCGGAGAGCCGCGGGCTGGGGGTCTCGCCGGGGCCTTCGGCTGCCCCAGGGCTGGAACCCCCGCTGCTCTGGCTCCCGCCGGCCTCCTTCCAAGGCTGGGTTGCCCACC